GTTCATCTTCAACATATTCTGGTAAGACTGACATGGTGTACTCAGAACATACACCACTTTTAGAGTGGTAAGGAGAAACTTCATCTTCTTCTGCCATCTACGAAAATTTTGCCCTTCAAACTTGTTTAGTTTTTCAAACTTACTTGTCATTTCCTTCACAGAATCACCACTTGTCATGATCATAGAAATGCTTTAATCTTTGTTAGAAAAACGGGATATAGATAAACTTGGATCAGTGAGAGTTGTGAAACACTTTCAGATTAAAGCATTTCGAGGGTACACTCAAAATCTCTAATCGGATGAAACTCACTGTTTTTTAGAAATGGGGAATGAAGAAGGTGTTATAAAAATCTGTACCCAAAAATGAATCCGAAATTGATCATATAACAGAAACTAACTTCCTGTCCTAAAACTGTCATATGGTAGTGACAGGAAAACAACTTCCTGTCCAAAAACGGTCATATTACCTGTAAAAAAACTAACATAAAATCGAGTCTATAAATGGATCACAAAACTGGGTGTTTTTACAAAAAATACAAATTTCTGAAACATTTTTTATATAGTAACAACTTCATGTCCAGCTAGGGGCTCTGCCCCTTGGACCCCGCTCCCAGAGGTGCTGCCCCCGGACCCCCGTCAGTTCAGCGGCTTTGCCTCTAAATAGCAGTATACTTTCAACAATGACAAAATCAAACAAATGTGCACTCCGCACCATACTAATTTGTTCGATAACTGTCAAAGTGACATTGATCAACAAATTAACCCCATTACACTTAAATAATATTAGCGATATAAAATCACCAACATATATATATATATATATATATATATATATATATATATATATATATATATATATCATCGCAACAGAATACTTAGCTCATCAGGTAGGATGTTAGTAATGGATTAATAGTCACATTAGTACCACAAGCGTTGAACTTTTATACTATAACCCTTCTTCAATAGAACTTCTCTCCGAACAAAAGTCACAACCAATTGACAAACTGATCATCTCAAACATTGGCATCTAAATAAAAGCTTTAATGTTTGTATGTTCGTATTACATAAAAATGACAACCGACTGAATCGAGATTCTTGTGATGCAGTACCGATCTTCCCTCTTCTCTCTAGCGTCGCATATGCAGCAACCCCCCATGGAAGGAGATACGATTGATTTTATAGGGTGGAGGAAGAGTCATTGAGACGTCAGAAGTAACAGACGTATGAGATTAATGCTCATTCAATTCTTCCTCATTAATGGGGAGTTATTAAACATATTTACATCCTCAGTCCCTAAGCTTTTCCACAGTGACACTTTAAACCCCATAATCCAAAAGGGAAGTGATTTGTATACAACAGTTTTTTGTCATACACAACAATTTATGTTTTATAGAGTTGTACAATACAACATTTTAAAGCACAAATTGTTGTGTATGGAAAAAAAATTGTTGTGTACGAATTAGCTCCCAATCCAAAAGCATTGCATGAAATACTTTCAAGAACGACAATTCAACCCCTAGACTTTTGTTATACCTTTAATAAATGGATTTTATTTATCCTAATTATTACCAAATTAAATAACATCATTTTTATTTAATTTAGTTCTTACGATCATAACATGAAATCATTTACAATAATTAATATTCAAGTAATGAAAGTTAACGTCATTGACCAAAGGAAATTTCGGTCGTTACATCTCCTCTCTCGCATTGTGTAGTGTAGAGTTAAGGTCCTCTTAAGTGCATCTCCTTGATGCTAATTTGGTATTAGTTCTTAATGGATCAAGAAGTACTTAATACAGGAGAAAACTAGCATCTTTGGTGGCTAACACTTGTTTGGTGGATCTACTTTGAGTCTTTTGCCACACTTCATCAACTTTCAATCTTTCATGAGAATCAAAGACTTCAAAAGTTGTAATCTTTTCTTTTTATGGTTGATATTAATATTTCCATGTTTGCAAAATAATCCTTGATGAATCTAAAATGGTTTTATAATTATTCAAGTTTTAATATTTCCATTGTCGTATATAACATTTTTGGGAAAACGATTTTAAATTAAACCCAACAATCTAACACCCAGTACTTTAAATGGTCATAGCAATGTGTTTTTCAAATACATGAAGACATCGTGTATTGTTTCGAGAAAAACAAAGATTTATATTATCTTTATCTCATATCGTATTGAGGAAGCTAAGACTACTACAAGCTTTAATGAAAACCTACAAAGCCTCTTCATCATGTAAGATCCTTTCTTAGACCTTCCCCGGGAAGATTATTTACACATATCATTAATTTTGTAGAGCTTAATACACCTGTAAAATACGTCCTTATGGAAAGGTGTTTATAAACCTTTAAGCAATCTTAAGTTAGAATCATATTTGACACCAAAGATTTTAATGATTACTTTTGCAAGTTGCCTTAGGAATAATATTCTATAGTCGTCACTTACATAAAATGAGTGAAAAATAGGTCGATCCTTGAAAAAGTAGTGTAGGTTTCCTTTAAGGTCAGTATCATTAAGGATTTCTAATACTTGTAGAAACCCTTATTTTATAATGAGAAAATGACATTGTATCCCTACAAACTTTATCATTTTTGTTTTAACTTATCACTAGTAGAGAGATGCACCTCTTAAATGTGGAAACAAAGCAAATTAGATGCAATTTGTTTCGGTTTAACCGGTCAGACCTCCATGTATCGGGATCGTTCTTTAACCAATCGTGTCTTTAACTTGTCTCGAGCTGAGCCAAGCCTCAAGCAATTAACCGGACCTCTTGTAGTTATGGTTTTCTCATATTTTTGAAAAAGCAAGAGCAAGTGATTGTTACTATTGAGCAAATGATACAATAACCCAAAATCTAGCAACAACTTAGTGGGGTGCTTAATTTTCTTAAGCAAAGTGAAACATTAAAGCCTTATTTCATCCTTGGAACCTCTTGCCAAATTTTACAATCCATAGTAACTCGCATCATAAGGGTCAACCAACCAAATGGACTGAATCATTTCCAGATCATAGTTAAGATGCCAATCTTATGGACTGATATACAATACCAGCAACACAAAGGGGGGGGGGGGGGGGGGGGGGGGGGGGGGGGGTAACATCGATTGAAAAAACATTTGGTGGTTTAGTTATACTTCATAATTTCAGGACAAACGACAATCAACAAGCTCCAAAAACATCCACATAATAACATACCAACCCAACCTAATCCACTACACCGGGGTCTAATTTTCATGAACAAGGATATGTTATTGATTAGAAGCAGAAAAAATATGCCAATTATTATTGTTATTAACAACTAATGTGTGGGAGTTTCCATTCAAAATCTTAGATCACAATTGTTACACGGTAATTAGGTTGCAACAGTGTCTTAAACTATTTGTTACTGCAAGATCATGGATGTAGAAGCAGATACTCAATTTCCCTGTTTACATTCTAGTGTTGGCTACAAAGGTTTCAAATTTATTTGTTCTTTCACTTTTATTTAAATTGTTAGATTCATAACAGATCTAGCAATAATAAATGTACAAATTCAGTAAACTAAAATCATCTGATTGTGAATTCTCAAAGCTCAGTTTAAACGTAAATGAAACAAAACTCGATTACGAAAACCATTTTCCTTTCTTCATTTATGTTAATGTTCTTCATAATCGATTTTACTCGCTGGAGAGCTAGAGAGAAACCCTTAGTGACACATGACTGTAAGAAGCGATCCACAAGCAGCGTAATTTCTAAGCTTGCTGGAATGGAACAGGAGCATGGAGAGGTCGTAGCCGGAGAGGTACCAGTAGACAGCGATATTAAGCCTCAAGCGCCGGACGGGGAAAAATTGCCGTGTAGGTGTACGTGTGTCGTGTGCTTGTGTTCTCACATGTTGACTTTTTTGAAGTCAACACCCATAAGGTTCTCAAGCAGTATAGTAGTAGTTACCATGAAGGCCGTTAAATTTGACTAAAAAGACAAAGAAACCCTCTTTTAGTTTTTCTTTTGCTAATCGGGAGTATATTAATCTTTAATACCACTCCCTTCCTATTAAAATAAATGCTTCATTTGACTTTATATGACTTTATGTATAGGTTTATTTAAAAAAATGACTAGTAGGCAAATATTTAAGGTGAAAATATAAAAGAATTTTATAAATAAAAAATAATTCAACCAATATTATATGATGATTACAAATACATAGTAAATATGAATAGTTAATTAAATTTATGCATATTAGAGTGACTTGTCTTTAAACACAATGTTTTTATGTTTTGTAATAACATTTGTTTAGTATATTAACAAATTCACTCATTGATAATTTGAAACCAACACCATAAACAAGATCCAGGATTTCAACATATTCCATCATGGAAACAATCATGAATGACTTGTGAGCCAATGAGGTATGCATATGCATCCGCAAAAGTTTTTTTAATCATATTGGACCTTTAGATCCCGGACCCAAGTCATTTTTCATCTCTATTGATCTTGCAACATCTTGATATGTATGCACGATGTTCTTTGTGTAATGGTTGCCGATTTGTATGACTTTTGTGGATCATGTTTAAGCCCCTCCTGTTGAAAAAGTGATATGTCACTTTAAACATATATACAATGTACGCGTCACGTATATGTATTTTGTTAATGTTTTAGCAACATTAACAATGTGCTTGTTATGTCACATGATATTGATGGCGTAAAATTTAAAAGCGATATTCATGTAACGCAAATCATATCATGTCTTGTATATTTCTAAAAATCTAAATAATTTATATATAGAAAATTAGTAATAGTAAAACTTGAAAGGGCTTCATTTACCATGCTTCCTCAGTATAATTTTGATATTTTTCAATCTCTTTGAAGCAATATATTTTCATCGCATATTTAAGTTTGATCATAAGATAAATATGCTAATGTTTATAACTAGAAGGACTGAAATTGAAATTGTATAAAAGATGAAGGGACTTAACAACTGAAATGATTTTGCTGTCTATATGGGCGATCCAAATTGAAACAGGAAAAGGCGACATTTTCTTTGGGGGAAATAGAAAGAGAAAGAGAAAAAGATGGGTTGCTTCGGTTGCTTCGATGGAGGGTTAGCGAGAGAGGAAAGATTGGAGGAAGAACGCAGGGCTTCTGAAGAAGCTCGAGCTAAAGCTGCTGAAGCCGCCGAGAAAAGGTAATTCTCTTTCGTTTCATTTCAATCCGTTTATTCCTTCTTCAGAATCTGTGATCGTTCTTTGTTTGAACACACCTTCGTTTTTCTTAGCTCTTTTCATTTGATTTTTTGCAATTTCAGTCAATTGTGCTTGTTTTTAGCTCTAGGATTGTTTTTGTAGTTTGATGTAGGATTAATGGTTACTTTGACGTTCGCGATGAAGGAGACAGCTTTTAAGTTAACTCGATTGAATGTTTCCTAAAATTCGACATCAAGTTCTTTCTAAATGCTAACTTCCTAAAAAATATATTTCAGTTCACTGTTTGTATCTCTAAATTGAACTCCAGGATCAGTCCATTCTAATTTTGAGTGTCTATAATAATCAAAAGGGCATCTCTAATTTTTCTAATCAGAGGAAGTGAGGAACTAGGGAATAGGGATAGAGTTTGCAAAAATCTTGGTATTACAAAGTTTACATGAACATTCATTTCTCATAAGGTTATAAAACAATAATACTTCCATTTTTGCAAATTTTGTGACTTTTGTGTGCCAAATATTGTTTATTTTGTTGCTTTCCAATATGGAAACTCCTACCCTTTTTTTTTTATCTCAAATGTCAAATTGCTTCTTTTGTTAGAAAGATTGGACCATTCAATGATGATATTTTCATGACTGAATTTGCAGACAAGAACAATTTGCACAATCAGCTGCAGGTAGAGCTGCAAGAGCTCAGATGCAAGCAGCTGCAAAACAGGCTTCAAACCCTAACAAAGGCGAACCAACTCTCAAGGTATATTTTACATGATGAGGATAAGAAGGGCATTAACGTCTTTTGCACTTTTCCCATCTTTTTGGGTAGTTTTTGTCCCATTGACTTTAGTTCCAGTCCAATACATGACAAACACAGTACAAGTCAGTACAAGACTAGACTGTCAGTTTTGTCCTTTCTCAAAAAGGGTTTAATTGTTGGTAATTTATTTTTATAATAATAATAATATATTTTATCTTGTGGGTGCAGTGGCAGATGGGATAACGATTAGCTTTTGTAAACATAACATTCGCCACCACATGTATTTGTAAGTGACCTTTTTTGCTTCTGTTTATCTGGTTCTTGAGATATAACTTATAATCCTAATTACATGAAGGGCAATTTAGGAAAATAGCAACATACTTTACTTATATTTACCGATATAGGCCCGGCACTTTAATTTTTACCCATAATAGCCACATTTTTACCGTTTTTACCGATTATAACAAATGCTGACGTGGCAAACAGTATTAATAAAAAAAAGCTTAGGTGGCACGTCATAGGACCAGACGTTGTCTAAAACTTAATGGCATATATAATTGTTAATAATTACAACTCATTGTTTTTTCCATGTGGAAATTGTTTGTAGGATCATAATAAAGAAGTGGAAAGATGCAATCAGTGAAGAGAAGCTGTTTATTGTGAAAGTTATCTCTTGAAATAATTATGTGCAAAAAAGCTAGAAGAAGATATTGTTTGTGTAAAGTTTGTTTTCTATAATTTGTGCTTCGATTTAATTATGTACAGTGTAATAAACTTCACCAGTGCAGTTGTCCTTTTGTACTCAAATTACCATATCCTAAAAGAAAATTGACATAATTGTTCAATGACAAATATACCTCCTTAAATTACTTGTTTTAATACTAATCACTTATAAATGACAATAAATATTTTCGTTTGTAAGTGCTGTTGGAACTTTGTTAATAAGAAACACATAGGAGGAAAGACAACACATTTATTCCCTTAAAAAGGCTTTTCCCACTAGAGTTATCAAATGGATCAACTAATGATCAAGCATCTTCCTCATTTTGTTTTTGCGTGTTGCCTTTTCGGATTTATTTTTGGGTTTTTCTTGTTGGTTTCGGAATTTTTTGGTTTTTCAAATTCGAGTTTTTTCATTAAAAAATATATGATTAACACCAAAATTATACATTAAGATTTACTAAAAATGATACATTAAAATTTTATTAAAAAAATTGGGTAATTTATGACCAACAAATGTATGATTAAATCAATAATTGATATGTATAAAAACTTTGGCTTCTGGTCTCTGAGACCGGTCTTGGATCGGTCTCGAAATGGTCTGGTATTTTTGGGATCAGTCTTGGAACGGTTAAGTCTTTTTTTCAAAACAGTCTTATATTTTTTTGGATCCGGTTTCATTTAGACCGGTTTAGTCTTCGGTCTTTTTTTGGGCAGAGTCTTTTTATGTATCTAGTGATTTAGGAAGATCGGTACTAGCTTATTGGGTGACTTGAGAAGATTTGATACTTGGGAAGAATGTATGGCACCATGCACTTATTTAAATAGGGAAAATTTTCTATACATTTATGGCGAAACCATATTACAAGAATTTATTGTTGACTATCAGGTGAGTACCTACCAAATATATATGTTCCTATTAACAAAATGATGAATTATATGAAACGAAGTATGAATAAATGTTTACGAATTTGTTTGCTATGCGAAATATAATATGTAACTATGTGCATATTCATGAAATTATATTTTATAGGATTACATTTTGAAGACTAAATGAATATGTTGTTTTACACATGACATTTTCCTTGTGAATTTTTGCATTCATGCTAGGTTGGGAATGACTTGAGTTTGTCCAACATAAAAATCTATGGTAAATGACTATATAGATGATTATGACCAAAAGCGTAAAACTACTTACGGGCTGTTTGATTTCACTCTGACTGGGTCCGGTCAGAGCTTTTATCTGACTCGGTCTGAGTTAGCTCGTTTGATAAGAAAATATTTGCTCTTACTCGGTCAGTGGATGGCTGATCGATGGCTTACCGAGTCCAAGAAAAAATAATGGCTGACCCAGACAGAACCCTTCTTTCCCTCTATTGCCCTTCTCACTTGCGAACACTTTCTTCCTTCAACCTCACACCTCGTTCCTTCTGGCCTTCCACATCGCTCCTCTTTGAACAGTGATTTATTTCCGTTTGACCTAATTTACAGGTTTGCAATTCTCATCTCTGCAAAATCGAATTTTTAAGCTGTGTTGAAATCGATTTTTTAAGCTGTGTCGAAATCGATTTTTTATGATTCACCATTCTAGTTGCAGGTATGGCCCTTCTTTGAAATCGATTGTCATTGAAATTGAACGGAATCGATTGTCACATGGACCTTTTAATGCTTTTGGTTTAACAGGGGAAATTGTGAGACATAATCATCCACTTGACAGAATAGAAATTGGTGGAAAGAAAGCTAATAAAGATGAGATATTATCTATCTATACTCTTAACTTTTCTCTCTCGATGCAAAACAAAAACAAGGAGGTGAAGAAAAAATACTGTGGAAATGACATCTCAAAGAAAATATGTGGTTCTTAACTTTTCAAGGATTTTAAAATTAGACATGTTTGGAAGAAAGGAGGCATGGTGATAGTAGTATAGCCAAGAAATAGGTACCTATATAATGCTTTACTTGATTATTAAATCTCAAATAAAACAAAACATCAAGGTAATTTTGTAACATCCGGATTCCCAGGTATCTTAAATTATGTATTTTATTGAGTTTTGGAGAGAGACTCGGCGAGTAGGCGCTCAGACTCGCCGAGTAGAGTCGCGAATCTCCATCCGGGTTAATGACTGGACTCGGCGAGTCCATACGTGGACTCGGCGAGTCCATACGTGGACTCGGCGAGTCCACGCTGTTTAATGAAACCCTAATTTCTCGGGTTTGGGGACTATTTAAAGGCCCTTATGGCCGCCATTTGAGGTCACCAGTCATAGAGAGAAACCTAGAGTGCTGAGCGTTTTGGGAGAGGAAGGAAGCCAGTTTTTTGACCTTGGGAGTGTTGTTTAGCAAGAAGAAGGAGGTACTAGCCAAGAGGAAGCATAGGAGATTGCTATTCTGTGGATTTGGAGCTAAGATCTTCACATTTGAGGTAATAATTCGACTCCCTTCTGTTCTTATGTGATCATATGGATTTAGGGTTCTTAGACCCTTTGTTGCTTAGATTTGAAGCCCAAATAGTCCCTTATGATGAGGAGGCTTTGGATCTGGATCCATAGAGGTCCAGAGAGCCTTATTCATTAAGCTTTTTGAATAACAATGGAGGCTATGACCTTGAGTTATGGTATTTGGGGCTAAATCATCATATATGATCAAATAGATGTTGTATGTGCATCAAGATGGAAACTTTACGTGGTTATTGGGTTTGGGAATGATAGATCTATTGGTTAGAGGACTGGATCTGACCTCAGGAAGTTGTTTGAGGATGTGCATGGAATAAACTCGTCGAGTCCATGAACGGACTCGACGAGTAGAGTCGGGTAGCCCCGCGACTCGCAATCTGTGACGACTCGTGGAGCATAGGGTTGACTCAGTGAGTCAGAGGGAATTAGAGGACTGGAGTTCAAGGCGGAATTCGCCGAGTCCATGAACAGACTCGGCGAGTTGAGTCGGGGTGGCCCCGCGATTCATGCCAGGTGTCACCCGTCGAGTAAAGGGAAAGACTCGACGTGTCATGCGAGATCAGAAAGATAGTGGGCACGTGTAGACTCGCCGAGTCGCCCAAGTGCACTCGGCGAGTCGGGTCAAAGTTTGACCGTTGACCTTTATTGACTTTTAGGGTTTGGTCAACTTTAGGGTCTTTGAGCCATGAGAGGGGTAAAATGGTCTTTTACCCTTCTGAGAGTACTAAGAGGAGGAATAGTCTAGCCTTGAGAGATGTATTGATTCAGAGTGTTTATTTCATATGATTAGGCGGAGGCTAGACCCGACTTTACAGAGTTCGAGCTTTACCGAGTTAACCGATGTGAGTCTTCTCACTATACTTTACCTAGAGTGGTAATTAGAGCTATAAGACAGAGTATTGTGTATGCTTTTGCATGATGTGATTTCTATGTGTTATATATGCTATGTATGTTACAGAGTTTTCAGAGTTAGGACCGGAAGGTCCACAGAGTTAGGGTCAGAGGACCCATAGAGTTAGGGCCAGAGGGCCCACAGAGTTATGGGACTGGGGGGGTCCCACAGAGACACTTTGACCAGAGTGTCAAACAGAGTTATAGCCTCGAGTGGCTAATATGTGTTATGTGTGGTATTTTGGGGAACTCACTAGGCATTTATGCTTACAGTGCTGTGTTATGTGTCTCAGGTACCAGCGAGGATCGCGGGAAGGCGCCGGCTTGATCAGTACACACGCGGGGAGATTTTATTATGATCTTGGGAGATGATGTTATGTGATACAATGGTGTTTTTATAACGATTATGAATGAAAACGTGTTTTATAAAATGTGAAAAATTGTTTTGAAAATTTGGGTGTTACAAATTTTAAGTGTTGCACATTTGAGAAAAAAAAACAATAGCATTATGTCTTCGTTTGTAATTATAATTATTCCATGTTTATTGCTTTTTATTTAAAATGTGGAACACTAATCAATGGGTTATGCAAAATAGGAGAAAACGTTGTAAAATGAAAGTTGGAGATGTTGTATATAGCATGACCATTTTATAAATTAAATGGTGAATCATAAAGGAATCATCATAAAAAAATGTTGTTTGAGGGTAATATAGTCATTTTGTACAGTCAGTCAGATGTAAAATCAAACAATAAGTTTCAGTCAGAAGTTAACCTAGTCAGAACTTCTAACTCAGTCAGTTTCTAACCCAGTCCGCTCTAACTCAGTTAGCAACTATCAAACGACCCCTTAGTGATGATATCAGAGACATTACCTCACTTACATGCAAGGCTACCTACCTTGTATATGGATTTTGTGAGTGGGTACATTATCCTAGACATGACTTAGAAATTCCTTCCAATAATTGGTAGTCGGCCCACCTTTCTTGATGATGACTTGAGATAATTTTCGCTTTATGAATTATGAATTTATAAATTGTGATGTTGGACATATGAGATTGACTTTGGAAGGGTTAAAAGCATATTGCATTGAATGTACTCAATTTATGACTACAATGACGATATTTTGATTATGAATCTAATAACGATATTTTAATTATGACTATAATGATGATATTTTTATTATGATTATACTGATGATATTTTAATTATGACTCTAATCATGATATTTTTATTATGATTAAATGATGGATAATGACTTATGATTTTTTTTTCTTTTGAAATGGCTTATGGTTTTCCAATGACTAAAGCTTTAAGAGTTTTCAATAAGTTAAAGACTATCCAAATTGTTGATAATTAAAGACTTAACTTTTATCAAAAGGAACGTTTCAATTCCATTGACTTTAAAGGTGTGAAATCCTGGTAATCATCACTAGACATTCTGAATGCCTAAACTACGTACGTTTACATGTATTCAGGTTTATAATTGAAAAGGAAGAAATAAGGGTCGATTTTGTTTTAGAAAGCTACTGTTGATGTAATGGGTAGTTGAAATGATGTAATGATGTCATTATTGTTTCGCCATCTTAATTTTGATGTTTGAATTTATTAAAATTGTATTTAAAAGACTATGGGACCTTATTTCTATGTATATAGTGATTTTAAAATAATAAAATTATTTTTAATTGATGTTAATAACTAAATAAAAAAGAGGGATGCTTCATTTCATATCTTAAGTTTTTCCACTAAAGCTTTAATTTACATTAATTAATAAACATAC